TCTCCAGAGGGAAGAGAGAGACACTGTTTTTACAACAGCTTGCAGTGCTTATACAGCCACAAGACCTGAAAGAATTACCTGTGAGTACTGATGTGTTCATGAAGTGTTATCATATGCCCCGAGGTTATGCTTGTTTGTGTGAGTGTGTGTATGTGTGTGTGTGTGTGTGTGTGTGTGTGTGTGTGTGTGTGTAAGATTGTCCATCACCTCTGTAGATACACAGGTTTGTGTAACATTATAAGAGCTACCCACAGAGAAAGCCTTCAACATCTACCGAAAGTCAAACCAAGAGCTGTATGATCTGACCAAACTCATAAGACTGAAAACACACTGCCACCACTCTGCAGCACATCACACACAACATGGAGAGGTGGATAACTTGGAAAACGTCATCCAACAAAGAAGTCATCCTGTCTGTTCTGAACACCCACCTTCCTACTGACTGCATCCCTCAACATCTCTGATCTCTCTCAATAACTCTTTTGTGTGTCTTTGGAGTCTAAACACTAGCAACTGTACAAATGGGAATAAGCGTGCACACATTTGGGTAGTGTTGCTCTGATGATGTCACACTTGGTGGTTTACATTAAAATGAAAAGAGAGCTGAAGCTCTGCCTCCTTTCACACCTGGCCAATTTCTGTGTGAAGTGGTTCCCACTCTCTTTTTAAAAGCTTCAAACTGTTGAATGCAGCCCTCTCCTGGACTACACTATACTTACACTCCTCATTCATCGGAAAAAGGAGGTTGTGCTTAATCTAATAAGGGGTGAACATAAATTTGATTCTCAAAAATGAGAACGCTATTGGCAAAAATGAAAATACAGCACCCTTGGCCCATATTACTGCAACCCCCCCGCCCCCCCAAAACTTAGATGTAAATGCTTTTGCATCTGTCCAGAGGACATTATCTGAATAAGGTATTCATGTTACACCCCTGTACCTGGTGTGGACAATCATATATCTTTGTGTTTGTATTGTGCTGTGCATGGTGTGTGTGTGTGTGTTGCATGTCAACCCAGTGTATATCCCTGGTGTCCTCATAGCCTTGTCTGAGCCTCGGGGATATAGATCTCAATGCTGTCAGCACTCTCTGTTGCCGAGTTTTGCCTTACGGATGCAGCTCTCTTGGCAGCCATCAGGCGCTTCCGGGCCTCCTGCCGCTGTTTCTCAGAGGTCTC